AATTGCACATTCAAAGGATATTTTTTTCCAAAGTGGAAATATTGTGTAAAAAATGTGTATTTATTGTGATTTTGAATGTTTTGTGGGGTAATAGGACGCACGCAAAGTTAAGCTGTCTTTTTTAAAATCTTGGACAACTTCAAGTATCACTTAATGTTTTTTCTCAAAATCTAATTTACTTTCGTAAATTATGTGTCAAATCAAAATCAGATTAACAAATTCAAAAGAAATGAGTAATAAATAGCTCATACAATGACATATTTATTATTTAACTAAATAACAAATATGTAACTAAAAATCTTGTTAGCTTTTGGTTGAAAACTAACAAGATAGTTACAATGTTAGTTGCATTGTAACTAAATATCTTGTTAGCTTTTGGTTGAAAGCAAACAAGATAGTTACAATGATAGTTATATTGTGGCTTATTATATATAGAATATATATATGGAAAAGACATAAAGTGATCATTCAAGTTGTCCCAGATTTTCAAAAAGATATCTTAACTTTGTAACCATTCTATTACCTCACTAAATAATTTTGAACAGATATTATCGGATCCGACTCCCCTCCATTACCCATTTCCCCATTTCGTCAAGTGCACGTCTAGATTAGAGACATGTGTCATATTTAAAGTTTAAATGTCAAAAATATATCATATGAACAAATATCATAACCATAGTTAAGTCAACTGATTTTAGAAAACTACTCTCCAAATTTGGTAAGAATTACAATATATTCCATACAAAATTTGATATTTATTAAATCTTTAATTTCATCTTATATTTTTAATTACAATTTAATATTTAAATACAAAATTATAATATGAAATTAATGATTATAACTCAAAAGTCATTCAACTATTGATATTTAACTTAAAAAGTCACCCAATCAATTTAAATATTTTCTTTTCATTAAATTTTGTTGAAATCTAATTTTATTTTAAACTATTTTTATAAGAAATAAGAAGATATCTATTTACGTCTAGATTAGAGACATGTGTCATATTTAAAGTTTAAATGTCAAAAATATATCATATGAACAAATATCATAACCATAGTTAAGTCAACTAATTTTAGAAAATTACTCTCCAAATTTGGTAAGGATGTCATGGGATGCAATGCAATATGACACCATGAAATGAATGCCTCAGAATACCAAGTACTCTCTCAACCGTATATACATGATACTCCTCGGAAATACATCGAGAGTTCATGACCCATGGGGGACTCGCGAGGTCCATATACTGACACAGACGATCTCCATGTGTTTGTGCGGACGATCTCAACGCACTATCATAAAATCAAACAATCCCCAGCATGGACGATCTCCACGTGCCCAACTTATAATCATAATCAATTCCTCACACGGACGATCTTCACGTGCCCAAATTATAATCATACTCGATCTCAACACGGACGATCTCCACGTGTTAGACCTTTACTCATACCCAATCTCATGTCAATGCATGTGCACAATATGATATCAATTAAAGGGTATGATGCAACATCTCAATAAATCAAATGTCGCTATGACATATAATCACCTCAATTATCTCAATTATACGGGTTTAGTAAAGAACACAATTACACATAATAAATCAAGTCAATAACATATCGGCTAATGCTCATATGCTTTGGCATTCTCGTATTACAATCTGCATTTTATAGTAATAAACTTTTCCTTTATAACACCGGTACCCGTACCATTCTCAACACATCACACACAAACAATTAATCACATTGCCTTTTATTACCCCTTTTCATCAATAGAATTAATCAAGGTGGACAAGTCAACCCATCACCAAGTCTCATTACCCCCAAACACATATTACAAGGAAATACACGAATTTCATACACTTAACAAGGGTTTAGAAATCCACTTACCTCAAATAACCGAACAATCACTCTGAGACTTGAGTCTTCCCTTTTCGTTGAGCTTCGAAATCAATACAATCTATTCAAGTACATATTCACAATAAGATTTTGAAACTAACAACTCCCATATTACTATAGGTTTAGCCTTGACCTAAAAATTCGCTAGACTTAATAATCAAGTTCTTAACTCTTGATGCTAATTAACATTTCACTATCATATTTTCCAAGTTTCAAGTCTAGGGTTAAGTCCCAATTTTTCCAAAATCCTAAATCTAATGGTATTCACATAATACCTTACATCATATCTCTGTTGACACCCAATTTTGACCCTCCCCGATATAAATTAATTTTTGAACTTCTTAAATTCCAAACGAATTGAAATAATTGACTTTATAAAAATCAAAATATTTTTCAAGTTATTTTGACTAGTTTTGTCACTTTTTATAACTTTTAGATAATAACTATATTTTTATATAATTATGTACGCTTTATGAATATTCGAAAATCGTCTCAAAAAGATTTTGCATTTTAGTCAAATATTTTATAATTAAGTTTAGTGTAAATTATAGTTAGAATTTTGAGTTAATCAAATCGATTAGTTTATAATTAAGTTAATTATTTTATTTCGTTAAGGGTAAGAAGCTCGTTAATTAATTTATATTAATTCGTCTTATTTAGTTTTAGCCGAATCACCAATTAAGCTCAATTTGGCTAAATTCTTAAATCCCATCGGCCATAATTGCAATCTATTTGGCCAAATCCTTAATTCAAAACCTAGCCTTTTATTTACAAACATAGCCAACCCTTCTACCCACCCTAACCCATTTGTGATAGACTAAACTTGGGCCTATTTCTTCAACCCAATTTCAACACCAAATTCCAGCCCCACTTTTGTTTCCATTTGATCCAGCCCAGTACCTCACTAACCCAGGCCCAAACACATCAAACCCAACATACAATACATACACAATGTACAAACATCAATATGTGCAGCAGTACCTACGTTACCCCTGTACACATCTTGTTCTTCTTCAGACGCTAAGAACAGAGTGCCCATCCCTCTGCAAAAAAATCCAACAAATCCGAAAATCTCGTGACCCGTCTGCGAACCCATAACCCTGGCAACCTAATCCATCACCCTCACGTCTCTTTTCCCCCCCCCTTTTCACGGAAATCGCAGGCCTGCACACAGCCTTCACTGTTGTCTCGAAAGAGCAGTAGAAATTCAAATCTTTGTTTGAATTTTCCAGCGGATTTTACCCCCCTAAATCGCACATCTTTCCCTATAAATAACCCTCTTACTCTCAGTGATTAGGACACGGTTTGAGGTTGGTTTTGAAGCAATAGTCACTTCTACACTTAAAATTTATATATATAGTCTTTTGATTCCAAGTTCCGAGAAGATTGCTGCTCGAATTTTCTTAGCTCGCCTTTAGTATTCAAAGAGAGTGGTGGAATCGCTCTTCTCGTCGTCCTAGTTCACTGCATCGGAAAAGGTAATACCCCTTTATTTCGTTTCATTCTATTTAACAATATGTGTTGAGGTTGATTTCTGGTAGCTAGATTAATGGTTGGATTTTAAAGTTTTTCTCTCGTCTATGTTTGATGCTGGAATTCATTTAATTCGGAGTTGCATCTCTTAAACGATCTTTGGTTTATTCCAAGAAATCTGGATTATGTTGTTGATTCAAGTATGAAACAGATGTGATATAGTCATTCTTTGATTGATTTTCGTCTCCGATTAACTTGGAAATTTGTCTGTTGGATTAGCGTTTTATAACCTTTAATAGTTCCGAGCTTGAAAGCATCAGCTATATAACAATTTCTTCCCTGTTTACTTTAGATGTGGCTATAACCTGGATTGCTTATGGATAGCTCAATATAATCTAATCTAATCCTTGTCCATGTTTCATTTTGATTTCAAACCGTGACGCTAGGATTATAATTCATTGCAACCCAATCTCTAAAATGATTTACATCCTTAACATAAAAATTTCCAGGTCCTCTTTTCTTTTCGTAAATGACTTGCGTGTTCTCTCGTGATTCCTCGATTTCGTTCCCGTTATTGTTCAAAATGTCAATTTCCTGATTGTTGGTCCTTATTTTGTGTTCGTTTTCCCTATTGTCGGTGATGTTAGCATTTCCAGATCTCTCTAACTAGTTTAGCTGCTCATTGTTTAAGCCAAATGTTCCACTAAGAAAATTGACTTCTCCTCTACTAAATGCCCATCTCTCTTTCAAAATATAGGTACTGTTTGATAACCTTTCCGTGATGTCTATGATTTCTTCTAAAAAAAAATAAAAAAAAAATTAGTTTAGACCCTCGACATGTTTATTCTGGTCTGTAATGCTTTGCGTTTTGCATGTATACATATTTATTTACTTATTTAGTGTTAGTGTCAGCATTTTAAACACGGTTTGAATTCGTTTCTCTCGAACATTCTATTTGTATTCTTGCATTTAGTATCAATCGAAAGTTGTCTTACTTCTTTAGTTTCTTGGTTATTTAAAATAAATTTGTCTTGTGCAATATTGGACCTCGTTTTTCCACTTAGTTGCTGCGTGTTTTTCCTTTGACTCTAGCTTTACTGTTGAAATGGAGTTAGATTTCATGCTCCTTTATATTCATTTTTGCATCCTTAAGAGTAATGTTATGAACGTGTTTCATCAGCCTTGTCTTGTTTTCTATCAATTATTCATATTGTGGGGAAATAATGTTTTATTTTTAGAGCTATCCGTACTTGGTTTTGTGTTTATTTAGAATGCTAATTATTGGCTTGAACAAGAATTTGGCTATGGACATTATAATTCTTTTTCAATCCATTTGTTCTCACTGTTTATATAGTACCTAAAATGGTTCTTTCCTTTATTTAGTTTCTAAAATGTATGTTGATCTAGTAACTTGGACACATCATATTTGTACAGTTGTTTTCACCATGGAAATATCTTGAAAAGATTTTCAAGGCTCTATTTTTTATATATATTAGTTACGACATGTGTGTTAGTTGAGCATCAATATTTTTAATGAGTGTTTCCTAACAATCTGGAGCACTAGACTTCTTTTAATTTATAATAATATTCATTTTTGATCCCTTTACATGTAATATGAATGAATATTAATCCTTATTATCTTGCCTTGCATGAACCCCCTTGATTTGAGTCCATTGGACTCCCTTCTATCTCCTCCCTTTGCATTTCGGATGTGCCATGGAGTCCCGAACTCAGCACTATCGAGTCGACCCTCATTGCTGTTCGAATTTCAGAAGCTGAAACAGACCTCAGAATGATGAAAAGCCGGCTGATATGCAGCCTGTATACATTCAGTATACGCTGTATTTCAGTATACATCTATATACAGGTCAAAAAATGTAGGAATACAGGGCTGAGGCGAAATATAGGCATTCGGAAGCAAGAGATACATGAAAAGAGCTAATATATATGCTAATATACACTGATATACATCAGCTGTATACCAAAAACGGGTTTTGGTTAAACCCCAAAAAATACCAACGAAATTGGCCCAAAAGGGGGCCCGAATTCAATTTCTCCCTTACTCTTTAATTATTTAATTGTGATTATTTATTATTTGTCATTTAACTCTAACTTTATAATTTTTAATTAACTTAATTAGAATCCCCAAAAGATAAGTTATTTCCTTTGTGTTGGTTAACTTTTAATATTTATTTTATCTATTTTATTAATTAAATATGTTGGCCAAATTATACAGTTTTAAGTTAAATCTTTTGTTCTAAAAAATAACAAATAAAAATAAAACAACAACATATTCTTCAATGTCTCCCACTTAATCACTTTTTACTAGTTTAAAATTGGTTTAAAGGTCAAAGTATTTATTTACTTGTCTCTAAATCAAATATTTCAATTAAGGTCCCATTTTCTTAAAAAATAAAAATTGCTCTTTGTTTAACTACTTTCTCAAAAGTTAATCTAGCAGTGTAAATTATTATTATAAATACTTACTTGGTCATTTCTCAAAAATGTTAGTCAAAACGTTTATTCTTCAATTAATTTAAAATGATTTTCATGCTTTAAT